TCTCTCTCTCTCTCTCTCTCTCTCTCTCTCTCTCTCCACACATACAAACTTCATGGTTGTTTAAAACAAATTTTAACGATAATTACTTTTGGCGATGTTTTTTATATATGAAACTTAATTTTAATAATTCATTATACAATATATTCCCCGAACTTTGTTTCTGTAGGAATATTAGACACAAACCTAAAATGTTGTGAATTTGCGAAACACATTTAGACACATATTTAAACACATTTAGAAAAGCCTTGAATTTTAGTACAAAACACCGAAGGAATTGACAAAATAATTAAAAATATTGTCCAAACATTTATCAAAGCATATAATAGTGGTATTAGTGTTGTCTGAATGGATATATCGATAAATTCTGTTTTAACAATGACTTAGGATTTTTAGTGTAGGATTTGGTGTGCAATGAATGACCAAACGGTTTGAGCTTTTGAGCCCAAGAATTACTAGGATTTAAGTACTTTATCTTTGATTATAATAGAGACATACCTATTCATGTCCTTGAGCTTTGATGGATTGAAAATAACTAAATAGTTTAACTCTGAGGGGTGTCCGCACATACACTATACCTATTACTAACGCATTTGCGGAGCTGTGGAGCCGTCAGCACAGGACTCACGAGTGAGAGAGAGGTTGGTTTTGAGCCACAGAGCGGATACCAGAGACATGTGAGACACCAGTGAACGAGAGAGTGCGAGAGAGCGAGAGAGAGAGAGAGAGAGAGAGAGAGAGAGAGAGACGTGAAAAGAGTGTTTGTGTAGAAAATAGAGTTCACATCATATTATTTTTAAAGAATTCTATTTTTAAAGCATATATGGATGGGATGTTCAAAGGTTTGGGCTAAATGTGGTTTAATGTCACGAATTACTAGCANATCGCCAAAAGTAATTATCGTTAAAATTTGTTTTAAACAACCATGAAGTTTGTATGTGTGGAGAGAGAGAGAGAGAGAGAGAGAGAGAGAGAGTTGATGCATAAGAAAGATGAGACTTTGTGTATGAAATTTAGTTGGAGTTACTGTAGAATTGTTAGTAGGAGTGGAAAAAGGAGTGGCCGTAAAATATTTTACATTTGGCCGAAACGACTGCTAAACCAAACATCTATTTGAGTCGAAATAATGAGAGCAATGAAAAGAGAGAGACGTTTTTGAGACAAAATTCTTGTCTTTATCTACTGTTAAGAACTACTACTAGTGGTGAACAACAAATGTATGGATTTGGATGTCATATGTGGGCGAATCGCCATAAGTGTGTGAATTGCACACAATTGTTGTTTAATTTTTCGCATGTTTCCCATTAGTGTCAACAAATGTATATAAGTTTTCGGATATCAAACCAATCATAATAACTATATTAATAATATCATGAATAATAACGGACCATACGGTATATAACGCGCCTGTGATCTATCGAGATGTCAATATTTGATGCATATGTATATTGTGTGCCATCACTATAGGTCCGTATATGTGGGGCCCTTTGGCCAGTTCGCCGTCATGTCATTTAGTCAACGGACACATCGATGGATCTCCGGTGCTGTCGAGCGCCGCCTCCGTATACCATCGGTTATCGCCTTTCGATGGATACTATGCCTCACCGTTTCATACGAGTCCGTCTGCCCTATCATTGCGTGGTCTGAGTCCTGGTTTGTCTCACATTTTATTTATTTTCTATTCGCTATAATAATGAGCGCAACACAAGAAAACACAACATATACTCTAATATGCGGTCAATATTTACGGCCAATACTGTTATTTGGGTTCAGCGCTCCCAACGCTGTCCCAAACGCTTATAATCTGTCGATAAGTCATCAGTAATTTATTTTGTCGTAAATTTCGGGTCATTTTCAGTAACCGATTGCCTCTTTTCCACGAATAGGTATTACTTTTCACCATAAAATGTAACAAAGATTTCAAACTAAAACTTCTGTCTCTCTCACTCACTCTCCCATCTCTCGCCCTCTCATCCCTCACTTACTCTCTCGTAAACCGTAATTATTTATCGCGCGATTGAGAGAAACCCCTAAGAATTGGCGTATATTTTACGGCTGTTTCCATTAGAGCTTCTCTTTCACAGCAGTCTCTCATTCTCTCTCTTTTTCTATCTCTTAGTTCAACACAAAAATTGCATTCAATTCTGACTTTTTCTGTGCCAAACATATGTGTTGTTCGGGTGCGACAAACAAAGTTGTTAAAAATCTCTCTATTTTCCAGTCAGTCCTTACTATTGGGGTCCTATTGGGTGGAGCTGTCGACGAGTGCTCTCTAACAGGCAATTGTGTTCACTATCTTTGCATTGAAGAGACTATCAATAATGAAGTGTAACTTATAATCAAATTTTGCAAAAAATATACTTTTTTTGATAGACTTTTCAAATAGTATTGAAGCCAACGAAAGCGGAACCTATTTTTTACATTTTTCCATTAATTTATGTTTTTCTGTTGTGATTGTATTGTATTGTTGTTGTCTATACTCTATTCAGTCTATGATATTGAATGCCATGAAAATAGGATACAAGCGATGAGTTGTTTCGCAGATTTTTGTCGCTACAAATACCTGAAACTAATTCTCTCTCATCTGGTATTTGTGTCGATAATTATGAGTCTGTCTTTCACTCAATTCTGGTTTCAAACATTGATTTTAAACAAAATAGAAAAGAAAAAATATATAATAAATTGTTATCTCATCTTAAAATCATAAGAGAGACAGAAAGACATAAATGTTGCTTTGAATGTGAATTTATATTCAATTTCTTTTCAAATCCACACAAAATGCAAAATACAGACTAAAAAATACATTTAATTCAAAGAAAGAAAAGCGAATCAAATCAAACGAAAAGCCCAAAAACATAGGAGTAATTGAAATGTAAATGAAAAGCAAACTTTGCATTTGGTTTTGATATTTCAATTAAACTGATGTCACGATTTATGATTAGAAAAGATTCTCTCTCTCTCTCTCTCTCTCTCTCTCTCTCCCTCCCTCTCCCTCTCCAGCAATAACTTAATGTAAAATAAAAGATTATTTATTCATCTCTCAGACGGAGTGAGAGAAAAAATGCTGTTTTTTGTTGCCATGAATTCAGGTTTTGAATCCACGGCTCGCTATATATTTTAGCACTCTATATGTTAATTGAAAAATATCTCAAATTTATTTATCATCCAAATTGTCAATATTCCTGTTGATTAGTTATCAATACTTTTCTTACTGTTTGAAAACATTAGCCTTCTTTGCAATAACTTTTACGTCGAAAGTTTTCCTTAACTTTTTTGTTGCTTTGTTTTCAAAGCGTTGTTTTCGTTGCGCTTAAGAAGTAATTCACATATTTTTCTCATCAGTGTTTTTAATAATTGCTAGTAATTCGTGACATTAAACCACATTTAGCCCAAACCTTTGAACATCCCATCCATATATGCTTTAAAAATAGAATTCTTTAAAAATAATATGATGTGAACTCTATTTTCTACACAAACACTCTTTTCACGTCTCTCTCTCTCTCTCTCTCTCTCTCTCTCTCTCTCCAGAGTTAAGGACTTTTTTGGGAATCAATACTAATTGATGTTAAGACTGAAGAGAGAAGAAAAATAGCAAAATTTTTGCACGATTTCCAGTATTAGTTGACTTTTCACTATCGTCTCACTCACACACTCTTCACTCTCCCTCCATCTCTATCTATCTTTTCCTCTTTCAATGGTCTTTCATAAACATATAGAAAGAAAGCCAAACATTATTGTTATCTAATCTCAAAGTTTTTTCATTTTTCGGAGTTTAAGAATAACTTTTTTCTGGCAGACATTCTCTCATAAAAGGTCTCTTCAGTTATCAGCGCTCACTCTTCGCACCACTAATACATCGCCAGAACTTCACTTAACTTTATTTTTATGGTCTCGTGTCTCGGCCTATGTTTTCGCTAGATTTTAAATTTTTTATTTATTTATATTTCACTTTTATTGATCCAAAAGTGAGTACAGAGTCTCGAGAGGCGAAATGTTTTGGAAATTTCCATCCATTGTGTAACACTTGTAGACATAATATAGTTGTTTATATCGGTAACTGATATTTAAAATATTTAAAATCAAGGCTTTCGGTGAACTTACTTTTGTATACAAAAACAATCACACGTTTAATGTATGAAATTATTTGAAACATAAATATTTTCATATGTGAATACATGGCAATTGTAATGGCATTCCTATGCAATCACTCAAACATTTCACACTTTAATTACAAAACGAAATAGTTTTTTGCTCAGAAGAAGTGATATATATATTTTGTTAGCAAATAGTTTGCCGATTATTATGTATTCGCTGTAAATTATTTTCTATCATTTAATGTCTTATCAAAAGCAGTTAATTATTTTGAGTTTTCAAAACTTTTGCTTTACATTTGAGTGGTGTCTCCGGTGTTGACGTTTGGGTTTTACCGATTCTGTTGACAACTTTGAAACAAATTTCAAATCTTGTTTTCTGTTGTCAGCAAACGGTTAACTTATTATACAATATGTTGACAAGTATTGTCTCATTATTGTCGAGATTATAAATTTCTATTCATATTATGTATAAATTATTAGCGAATAAAACGCTGTATTATTTTTCTGAAAACATTTATTAACATTTTAACACTTTATCTAAGTTTTGTTGCCGTAAATTATTTTGCTTTCTATTTTTATAATAATTATATAATAATGTTGTTATAGTTATGAAACATATTATAACGAACAGAAATTTTCTGTTAATTGAACACAAAATATATAATAGACGTGCAGTTAATCTATTGATAGTTTCTTCTCAATTAATGTTTATTTAATGTTGATTTTGATAATAAAGTAATCTTTATATTAAAACTCATATAATTATTAAATTTTATATTTTTTCGGCAAATTGTAGTCAAAGAAAGTTTAATTTTCTTCTCTCTCTCTCTCTCTCTCCCTTCAATTCTCTCTCTCACCTAATATTGAGATGCATTGGATTTAACTAAAAAGCTATTTAAACACAAGTTTAAAAGTCATAAATATTATCCACAGTTTATATAGCCATCTCTCTCTCTCTCTCTCTCTCTCTCTCTCTCTCCATTTCTTTCTTCGCTATATTTAAAGGCTATATAAACTGTGGATAATATTTATGACTTTTAAACTTGTGTTTAAATAGCTTTTTAGTTAAATCCAATGCATCTCAATATTAGGTGAGAGAGAGAATTGAAGGGAGAAGTGAAGTGAATGTCTTAATAATAATTATATCCCGCGGCAAATGTGTGCAAACTTTAGCCCAAACCAAAACTATCATTAATTATTTATTTTTTAAGGGATAGTTTTCAGTAAAAAAGGCATAATTTTATGTATTTATTATTAAAAGAAATATAGAAATCAAAACCCAATCCTATAATAGGTTTACTTTTCGACAAAATTAATTGCCAACAATTTATTTCACGGTTTAATATGTAATTTTATAATTTCTTTTTTATAAATACATTTTTCATACAAAGAAATGATTTGTAGTTTTATTAAAAACATTAATTTTAATGTCTTTATCATTTTGAATGTCCAGATTTATCGGCGCCGACAGTACTGCACAATGATTACCTACAACAGGTCAGTCTACTTAACCAGCGTATGGCCGCCTCGATGGCAGCCCTATCGGCCGGTCAGAGTCAGGACCTCAATGTTCACCATCACCTCCACAACGAGGCAACGCTGGCGGCGGCCGCCGCTGCTTACGCGGCCTCCACCTCATCCATGGACGGCCCCTTCAGAGCCCCGACTTCGGCCAGTAATGCCCTCACGTCCGGCCGCAAGAGAGCCCTCTCCGCCTCTCCCTATTCCGACTCATTTGACATCAATTCAATGATACGATTTTCGCCCAACTCTTTGGTCTCGTTTATGAACGGTTCCCGTTCTTCGAGCGCCAGCGGATCCTACGGTCATCTGTCCGTCAGTGCCGGTCAGTTACAGAAATCAAAACCCAATCCTATAATAGGTTTACTTTTCGACAAAATTAATTGCCAACAATTTATTTCACGGTTTAATATGTAATTTTATAATTTCTTTTTTATAAATACATTTTTCATACAAAGAAATGATTTGTAGTTTTATTAAAAAACATTAATTTTGAATGTCCAGATTTATCGGCGCCGACAGTACTGCACAATGATTACCTACAACAGGTCAGTCTACTTAACCAGCGTATGGCCGCCTCAATGGCAGTCCTATCGGCCGGTCAGAGTCAGGACCTCAATGTTCACCATCACCTCCACAACGAGGCAACGCTGGCGGCGGCCGCCGCGGCCTATGCGGCCTCCACCTCATCAATGGACGGCCCCTTCAGAGCCCCGACTTCGGCCAGTAATGCCCTGACGTCCGGCCGCAAGAGAGCCCTCTCCGCCTCTCCCTATTCGGACTCATTTGACATCAATTCAATGATACGATTTTCGCCCAACTCTTTGGTCTCGTTTATGAACGGTTCCCGTTCTTCGAGCGCCAGCGGATCCTACGGTCATCTGTCCGTCAGTGCCGGTCAGTTACAGACACTATTGTCTCGCATTTTGTTTGCCATACATTTTCTCTTTGCAAAAAGCGTTGTTATTTATCAAAGAGTTCATTGGTTTCTCGAAATTCACGTTTAATTAAATAATTTTTCTTTATTTGAGGATTTATTTTATGCAAAAAATCCAGTTTTCCAGAGTTGTAATGAGAAAACACTTGTTGGCGAAGAACTGGTGCTAAAAATGGCTTAAAGACAAAACTAATTAATTATATTCTTTAATAGCGATTCCCTTCTCTTCGAGAAACTCTTTTATTTCTGTATTTATTTCTTAAATGAATGGAAATAATGAGGCATTGAATGAATTGACGCTTATTTTTGAGCTCAACTCAAACTGTATTTCTCTCACCCATTCTGTGTGCCCGCAGTCGAGCGCTTGAACAGGGATTTTGGCTTTTTTCAGTCCATACCTACTAATTATAACATAATATGTGAGAGACGTTTGTCTTCCCCTTCACATCGCCTCAAGAATTGAATTAATTTTCAGCAAAAATAAGAGTTAATTATATGACGAAAAAAATTATATCAAAACCTTTTTATTGAGAGAATCCGTTGATTAATCTGACGGAAAGAATGTGTTGTTATTTATAAAAGTATTTCGTCTTCTGTAATGAATAGTACAGTAAATACTTGTGTAAAATGCGAAGAATTTCTCTTCAATTTTAGCAATTTTTACAAAAAATATGAAAAGGCCTTTGAAGTGATAGCCGCTCTCTTATTCAGTAAACAATTTCACTAATTATTTATATATATGTTTGATATTTATTTGATATGATATTATTCTTTACATTTGAAGTAAACGTTAGTTCAATATTACTTTTTTTTAAAATACAAATACAGTATAAATAATTTCATAGCGATTGTAAAATCCGACATATTATTGCATTTGATATAATTAATTGCCCAAAACTTTAATCAAATAAATATATATTTATAATTGAATGATAGAAATCGGAGACTGAATCTCAAGAATCCAAAGCTCTTTCTCCAGCAAAAGGAGACTCCGATTAGAAAATGTATTTAAAAGAAATAATTTATAGTCGAAAATAGTATTAACTTTTAAAGTATTAGTCGAGAAGTAGTAAAGCGTTTTATTAGTCAAACAAATTAATCACATGAATAACATTTAAAGTGATTTGAATCTCTTTTTTTACTGGTTTTTTACTGAAAAGATGTTTTTCACAGATTATATACACATAAAATGTGAACATTTCCTCCGCCAGTCTTTGCATATCATTAGTCAGTTTCCAATTAAAAACCATTTCTTTTGGTCTTTTCTAAGACTTCTTTTTCTTTATTTTTATCTCAAAAATTTAAATGAATTTTCGCGAAGACTTTTCACTCCTTTTTTCTCAGTTTTCTTCTTCTTATTCTAGTGTTCATCTCCTTTAATGATCAATCAATTTATTTCATTTGATTCGCTATTTTTTATTAGTATTAGAATAACAAATATCTTTAATGTAAAAGAGATTTGAAAAATATAAAAAATCAATTAATTTTTGAATCACAAAAATAAGAAGAAATTCTCATCACTTTTGCCCAGTTTTTCTCTGACATCAAAGCAAAGGATAGTTAGTTTTTTCTCTGCCATAGAATTAATTAAATGCTAAATTGAAATTAAAACGTTTATCTTATGTGTTAAGATTTTTGTTGGCATTTTAATAGGGATTTGTTATGCATTTCTTGATTACAAATTTTTGTCTGTTGCCACTGAAACACATTTTGAATATCACATCATATGATATGAAAAACAAGAGATTAGTGTATATTATGTTTGCAGAAAAATAATATTATAAGAAATGAAAAGAGCATATAATTTATGGCTAATTTTGCGAAATCATGTTTATCTACACCTTTGATAACCATTAGTGAAGTGAACACAGAAAACACGGCCCATAATAGTTAGGACTTTGCCTTAAAATATTTCTTTATATTACAAAAGCAATAAAAAGTTATAAATATTGCGTTAAAATCCTCTTCATTTCTGTAAAACTTTAAGGACAGGAATGTCTGGCTTTAGATATAAATATCCCTCATCTCTATCTGTCGATCGCTGAGAACTGGAGTACTTAACAGCGAAACAAACAAAAAACTGAATTAAACAATAAATTAAGTCATAAACGAAAAAATAAAATAAAATAGTTGTTTGAAAAAACATTTCTTAGCGACTAATTAGCTATTCGTTTTCATCACTAGATTTTTGTTGTTGTGTTGAGAAATTCATTCCTTGTGTTAAGTCTCCTAACATTTTGTGTATGACTTTTCAATGAACGAGAACTTGATTTTTACATTTCCATTCTCCGTCTCCTCTCTACTTATTCTCTCCCAATCTCTCCCTCTCTCTCCCTCCTCGGCCTCACAAACATATAGATATAGAGACAGAGTATATATACTCTGTATTTATTATATAATAAGTTTATTAAGATATTTTGAATCGAAACCTGTTTTTCTTTCACCACAACAATTGCCATTCACTGCGTTTTTTACACTCACTTTCTATTCAATGAACTTTAAATTACAGGCATTTCATTGCAATTCATTTTTTCTTCTGTATTCAATATCCAATTCAAAAAATTCTTATCTCTTTATATAGTTTTTCATTTTTTTATGTTTCCTTTCAAACGCTAAGAGTATATTCACATCGATTCCTATCCCCACACGAGAGAAAAAATACCAACAAATAAACGCTAAAAAATTATTATACAATATTTCCAAAAAATATCACTTAATTATACAATAAATATGAGAAAAATTAAACATTAGATTGAGTCATATTTTTGAAACCTTAATAAACGGCTATTTAAATGCATAAAAAACATAAAAAATGATTTAAACAGCAATTAAAACTCATTGAATGGTGTATTTGCAGGCACTATGAGTCCATCGTTGGGAATGCAGTCGAGCGGCTGTACTGTTCTTCCCTCACATTTGCATCACTTGATGCGATCGCCAATACTTCTACCTCAGGGCCCGTCATCGCTGGCCCACAACACCTCCGCCGCCAACCTTACGGGCTCTGCCTTCACACCACATCACCCGCACCTCATCCACAGTCAACTATCGATGAACGCGGCGTCCAAACTGTCACATATGGTGGACGTAATGCCGCCGCCACAGCACACGACCCGCGAGACCGCCTCAAACGTGGTCTCGTCGACTGTCGGCGATCACGACGTGAGGGCCGGACTGACGGCGCGAACCAAAATCAAACGCGAGGACAACGCGGGCGGAGAGGACCAGAACGACGACCACACAGAGCCCGGAGACTTCATCGAAACCAACTGTCACTGGAAAGAGTGTTCGCATGAGTTCACCACTCAGGAGGAACTCGTCAAACATATCAACAACGATCACATCCACGGCAACAAAAAGAGTTTCGTCTGTCGTTGGAAGGAATGCTCGCGTGAAGAGAAACCATTCAAAGCCCAGTATATGTTAGTCGTCCACATGAGACGACACACCGGCGAAAAGCCACACAAATGCACGTTTGAAGGTCTGTACAGTATATCAGTTATTATCTATAATTTGCTTCACATATCATAGAAGAAACTAACTGTTAGATTGTTATATCGTTTTTTCTCTCTCTTTTTCTTTGTCTGTCTGTAACCCAAAGGCTGTGCGAAAGCGTATTCACGGCTCGAGAACCTAAAGACCCACTTGAGATCCCATACGGGAGAAAAGCCCTATATGTGTGAGTTTCCCGGCTGTTCGAAGGCCTTCTCCAACGCCAGCGATCGGGCGAAACACCAGAACAGAACCCACTCTAATGAGAAGCCCTATGTGTGCAAAGTTCCCGGTTGTGTCAAGAAGTACACCGACCCCTCCTCTCTCAGGAAACACGTCAAGACAGTCCACGGGCCAGAAGTGTACGCTAATAAAAAGCATAAAGGTGGACCCATCAACAACAACAACAACAAAACAACACCAATAATAATAACCACAACACAAACGGTGATAATTCTTCGCCCAAAGATCACAATAATAGTCCCAAAGAAAGCGGCCCTTTGAACGATGTGTTCAAAAGTGAGTTCAATCACAACAGCTCTCCAAAGGGTTCGCCCGATAATGAGTCCAAAACGCCTCCAACTGTGGGCAGCTCTCCGACCGGGTCTTCCGGTTCAGGTTTGTTGCGCTCATCTGTCAGTTAATTGACGGCAAAAATTGGTTTTAATTAAACACTTTGTGGTAATGTTTAGGCTCTGGGTCTGGATCTCCGCCCAACTCAGCCACTAATCATCCGATGTGTGGCGACTTCGGTGGCGATGGTTTTGATCAACCAATCAGTGATAACTCTGTCTCAACCACTTGTATCGGAGGCGCCGATCAAGACTGGTCTGCGGCCGACGCTATCACTGTTGAAGTGGACACCGGTTTGGATAGGATTGGCGGCGGAGGAGACGCTATGATCGGTATTCAGCCGAGAGTTGTTCCGCGACCGCGAAGTTCTATTAAGAGTAACATCAAAGCCATTAAGTCTGGCATTAAATCGGCCACGAATTGGATCCCATTCTTTAGGAATAGTTCGCATAACAATAATAACAAGAATTGCAACTATTCTTCAGTCAATAGTAACTGCAATAATAATAAACTATTAGGTATTTCATTGACATAATAGTGATTCGATGACCAAATTTACTCATATTTTGTCAATTCTTAGGCAATAATCAAAGCAATCAAATGTCTTGCAAAAAGAAGGGCAACAAATCAAAGCTCATACGACAGGGCAGTACATCCAGTATTAACTCCAACTCCTTCTACAGTTCAGTCTTGGGTTCAGACAATTCTCACACGTCTTCGCAGCTGACAAACAGCACTTCCTCCGCACCGCAAGTGATGCTCACATCCAATGGAGAGCTGATTCGGTGCACGTCTTACGACCCGATCTCTATCGGCGGTTCGTCGCGCCGCTCGTCGGACGCCAGCTGTTCCGATATAGCGGCCAATCGGCGCACGTCTTCCACTTCTTCACAGCCCAAACACTTGACACAAACCGACAATTTGGTGATTCAACAGCAGTCCGTCGCGCTTAACGCCGACCGCTATTCTTCGTCGGTCTCGTCCATCGGCTCGAGTGTCAGCACTCGACGCAATCGGGCAGTGGTTCCGCCGCCACCGCCGCCCAGTCTTAACGAAAACACATCCACTTCTTATCATCCGAACGAAAGCGTAACTCTCGATGAATGCGATTCCGACCAACCGATCGAAACCATGAACAATATGATACTCCCCGACGATATGGTCAGTCATTGTCTCAAATATTATTTAATTGTATTTAAAGATATCGATAATAAATAGCCGTTTCTTAAACTCTTAGGTCCAATATCTGAACGAGAAATCAAACAAATCCAACGAATCCATGGCTCAGACACTGCCCGTCGCTCAAGAAGTTGTGCAAAACAATACCGCGTGTAATAAACTGCATAAAGATATGCACAGAGCTGTGATACCACCCCAACCACTGCCTCCAATCCAAGTCCACTCTCCGCCAACCAATTTCAACATCACATCCAATAATTGCAATACAAATAATACTCGCAACGAGTTTAGGGCGCCGTCCGTTCCGATGCTCTCGCCGTCGACGCCGGCCTCCGTCCAGATTATGTCACCGCAAACACCGATGCAGACGTCGCCCTCATCCGTGTCGATGATGTCACCGCCGATGGCTAAACCACAGCTGAGTCCCAATCAAAATACGAATAGTAATCCACTAAACAGTCCGATGAAACCAGTGCTCAATAATACAAACGCCGCAAACATTGCGAATAATGTACCGAATAATACAGTTTTGAATAATAATAATAATATTGCTGTAAATACTATACAATCGGGTCTCAGACCCAACGCATGCAATCAATTGCAACAAATGGCTCAAAACAATTCTCAACAAACGGCCGCCGCTTCTTATGGTCGGGCCATTCAAATGCCAAACACGACCGCAAACTTCATGCAAACCCAGACACCAGTTATGCCGACAAACAATCCCTATTGGAATCAAGCCGTCGTTAACACCAATAATAGCCCTAATAATCGACAAAATTTCAATACCAATACAAATGTGTACAACACTTACAATCAGTTCCAGCAAATTAATACTTGGAATCAGAGCTCAGGTATAGGAATCAAGCCGTCGTTAACACCAATAATAGCCCTAATAATCGACAAAATTTCAATACCAATACAAATGTGTACAACACTTACAATCAGTTCCAGCAAATTAATACTTGGAATCAGAGCTCAGGTATGAATTTTTGGACATTTATTTCTCGAGTTTTGATTAGTTTTCTAATTATTAGTTTTTGCATTTATAGGAAATCAAATGTTACCGCAATATCACCAAATGTCTGCACCTCAACCACAGGTGCAAATGCAAGCACAGCAACAGCACTGGAATCAGATGCAGAATCAGCAACAGTTTCAAACACAACAACAGCAGCAGCAACAACAGGCCTGGAATTACCAGAACCAACAGTATATGAACCAAAACCAATACCAACAGCAGTACATCAATCAATACATCAGTGCACAGCAGCAATGGCAACAAAATCAGATGAGATTTAGACAACAGTTTAACCAAAACAATATACTGAATAACGTGACAAACATTGCCAATAATGCCATTACGCCGACCGGTGTTCAGCCGATGGCGACCAACAATTGTCAGCCACCGGAACCGATTCCAACCCAAACTCAGACTCAACCGACACCCCAACAGCCCGTATCTGTGATGCATAACAAGTGCCTTCAGACAAACAATAATACGTCCATCGCTTATAATCAGTTGAGCGGCGCATCTGTGCCGCAGAAGTGCCAAAACCAGACCAATCCAGAGATACAATGCGGTAGCGTTGAGAGCACGGCAGCGGCCAATCTGGCCATCGCTAACCAAAACAATATGAGACCCGAAACATATCAGAGAACTCTGGACTACATTCGCCAGCAAACCGATGCACTCAACGGCCAGCCCTCGAGTCCGGGCAATGTGTTATCGCCCGCGGGTTCGTGCAAAGTGGTCAGCTCCACGTGTCCCACACCTAACCCCACGGCACTCAATTCGGCCCAACAACAGCCACAACCACCACAACAGCAACAGGTGGTCATCGCTCAGCCTCAACAATGTCTGCGCCCGGCGTCGGCCATGTCTGTCATGTCGTGCCGGTCGACATCGACTCAATTGTCCACAAATATGGTGATCAATGATCTAAACTCAACTCTCAATTGTTTAGTAGAGGAAAGCCGTTTCCTTAAGATGTCAATCAATTAACGGTCTCTTCTTCTCTCGATTTACTTCACTTTCAGATCTGTTGTCTTTGAGATTATATATTTTGATACTATTAACGTATTTAAAGAAAAATGTTAGTTATTTTGTGCTTAATATTTATAATCGATTCAATAGTTGAGTATTAAATAGTGATTATTATTATTAACATTATTAACACTTGAGAGCAGATTCTTGTAACAGAATATTCTCTCAATAAAATTGTTATATTTTTTAGTTCAACAAAAGAATCTCAAACTTAAATTTTACACTGAATTAGTTATATATTTATATTACATTTACAATAAGAATATATGTTTTTATAATCGATGATGATTTTTATTTACATTATTATTAAACTTAAAGAATTGTATAAAATGTATTATAAACTATTGATTTAAAAAAATAACTATTAATATTACCGATTGAAATAAAATATTAAATTAAAACATTGAAAAATTGTGATTTTATTTGATTTAAAAAATTATTACACGATTTCATTCAAAATTATTAAAGATTACAAATAATCACTAATTGATAAGTTTAATGATATACAATACTGTATTATATTAAATGTATTATAATATTGGATATACTGTAAGATCACTTAAACCTTAAATTATAGGTTTTAAATATTAAATAGTTGCAAATATAGTGTAGTTATAGATATATTTGAGACTCATTATGAAATAATTTAATTAATTGATTTTATAGCCTATGTATTGCTTTAATCTAAATGCAAATCTAATATCAAAGTTTGTTTTGTTCATTAAATCTATGTTTAGATAAAATGTTTCTTATTTTTTATGGGAATTTATTAAATTTCATGCCATTAATGTGCGTTAAATTGCAATAAATATTAATAATATTTCTTTGTATGAAATATTTTGTATAAAAAACATGAATATTAATACAATATTATAGACTTTGAGAACATTAATGTGTGGC